TAGTGCACCGGCCGTGTCTTGAAGGTGGATAACAAGCTCCTGGCTAAACGACTTTCCTCAAGCGACATGTCTACGGGTACTCTCAGACAAAGTGGACAGATCGAGAGACCAAAGAGGATCTTGCCCGAGCCCTTCAGGCTTGGTTTTCTACCGTAAAAAGTGGTGCCATCTTCAAAGAAAACCAGGCGGCGCAGGTCGCGGTCAGGATTAAGCGTGCAAAATGGGGATGCCGTGAGCGACCGCTAACAACATCCAACTTCCCTACTTGGTCCCTCCAGCGGGCTCAGAAATCTCCCCTATTTGAACCTGCTTTTAGGTTTAGGTTAAACAGTCCCAGGAGGTCTGGTCGTCATGTATTCGTGTGATATTCACGAGGAACGAGAAGGGGGATTTTTCAGTTTAACATAACCCCTAGAAGCGACAATCCAAAAGTCTGAAAGGCAAACTACATGACATCTATGCTTGAGGATATATTTGGGGCAATGTCCGTACGCAGAGGTTACCTTAAACGCGCGACCAACCAAAGAAGTAGAATATATGTACACGAAAGAACTGTCCCATAACTCGGCCAGCACAACACATGGGTGGCAAAAGACGACGATAACCTATATAAACGGCGCCGCTCAACAACTTCGAGAGCAATCAACAGCGTTTTTTGAAGTTAGTTAGGCTTAAGCCGGGAGATGAAAGAAAACCCAACATTTACAACTCCCTGCGACCGTCAAAGGCACCAGTAAAAAAATATTTATAATAATGAGTGCGTGTGACCTAATACAGGTGGCAAGTCCATGCAGCCACGGTGATTCAGAAAGTAAATTCCCAAAATAACGGGACTAAAATAAGTCTATTTCATGAGTAATTTCTATAAGTACACACTTTTATTCACAGCCCTCTTGGCATACAATATGAGGGAAAATATGGTAGATGTAAATGCAGACGCGGCAATAAAGTCAAAAGCATGACAGCAGCCTGTGCTGAAGGACAGCTGTCCTAGGTAAAAGTTCGCACAGCACGGAGAGGAGGGGTTGAGGCGCTAAATGGGCACATTTTTTGAAGCAGCCCTTTGCAAAATACCCTGGCCTTCTTTTTTCAAAACACAGAGAAGGGTCTGAGAACTTTCGAGGATCTACAAGGACAACGAGATTGGTATTTAGATTTACCTTCATATAAGCCGCTTCCGACTCAGCAATAGTGCGGTCGTACTCGTTTCGAGTAGCCAGTTTTTTCTGAAGAGCCTCATTTACCCGATGTAATTTTTCAGTAAGAATATTAATTTCCCGCTGAAGTTTGGCCTTTTCCGCCTCGTCTAACGATATAAGACGCTGGATTTCCTCGCGCCTTTTACAAAGATCCTCGAAACCTATACGCTTATAATGAAACTGCACCTGGCTTACACTTAACTAACTCGTTATTATAATTCTGAAGGGCCGCCCCTTGTTGAGACATCGTAATGAGAAAGAGGGCTGGTTGCTGCCCTTCAAAGGTCAAACAAGAGCGAGACTGGGGACGGGAACCAATCAAAATCGAGAATGTCAAGGCCACATTGCAGTATTTGCGGGCACATTGCTGCTGCCAATGGTAGCCAAATGATCTGTAAATTCAAAATAAATAAAGCTTTTTTAGCAAAATCAAAGTAGATAGAAAATTCCAAATTAATCATATTACTCAAAGTTCCCATCCAGGATAAAAACAAAGGAGAATATCAGCTTTTCGTATTATTCAGGGAGTAAAACGTCTGCCTTAGCGGTGTTTTGAGTTTCCCTAGTCGGTGCGAGTACATATAGTGTTCTTGATGAAATAGGTCCATGCCGAACAAAAGGATGACTAATTACACTCCGGTATCATTTGAATCGCGCATGCCGTTAACACACCTCACACCTCCTGCAAGTCGAAACACGGACAGATACATGCGTTCAAGAACACAAAAGCAAAAGTCTTTGCAACTATTCGATTGGACACACTTGCCTGATATTTTATACTTCTGGGAAGTTCTTATAAATCTTGTAACTACAGAAGCTGTGTAAATCTAATTCGGAGCGTAAGTACATCGGACACTAGGTGGAAAGAATTTTTCGATGGATGATGGTAGAGTGGAATAGGTTTTCTAGCTCATCTTGTGAGCTCTGAAACTGTTTTACTCATAAGGAATTTAAATTGATCACATTCACTTCCGCTACGCTGAAGATGCACTAGATTTATTTGATAAATGAGGATTAAAGGAAGGAGAGTTTGTTGTGAGGAGAACATATCTTATGCATCTGGTATTGCTATGCAAATGCCATGTTAGTACTGCCATACTCAGATTTGTAACGTTAAAGTAATGGCATCAGCTGGGGCGCCGTCATTAACAGACAAGGATTTGATTATCAAGGGAATAAGGTGGACACTAGAATGAAAAGTTTCAATTCATACTCTCTGGCGGCAGTAGCCATTGGCCACGCTAGGCCTTAAGGCGTTAGATTTAAACCCTGTCCGAGATTCGACGTTAGAAAGTAATTTTCACTGCATTTTGACTTCTGTAAGTCGCTTAAAGTATCTTTGTACTCATATAGTATTTTTTTCATCAGCCGATGTCTGTCTTGTCAAATATGACCAAGTGTACAATCTCGAAGAAATCAGTACAAGAGTTTGCTAGGATATTTGTACGTGTTGCTAGAGATACACATAGGTGGCTCTATCATCGTTTTAGGATATTTGGACGCAAGAATTTTCGGAAACTCACGCTGTTTGAGTTCGATTGGAATTCGCTCGCCTTCCCAAGTTTTGAGATTTGTAATGGGCAGCCATCATGACCAGTCTAGCGTCATTGTTCAAGACCTAGCTGACTCAAGGTCATTCACCATTGCAGCGATCCGTCCCAGAGGCGCTGGCCTGAAGCCACTGGACGGACTTCAGCTCGGAACAACTGCGTCCGCACAGCCGCAGCTATCCATGCGCTACTTGAACGTGCCACACCCTGCAATCAGCAAAACAAGCCACCGGGACACCACTCCTCGGCAAATTCAACACACGCTGACTGGACACCACTTGAGCTTGGCCCACGAGCCTACAAAATTCGCTGCCACCATAGTCTCAGGGACTCTCAGGCACGACTGGAGCAGTCAACACCAGCCCTGGCTTCGCCATTGGCCACTGCCACTTGAGAAGACAACTCCGGGTTCTGTGCACCATAAACCCCTCATTCTGGTGTCTTCCGTCCTCTCCTTACAACACTAGGATTCGACCTGGTGTTTGTAGTGCTCAGACTGCACACTTACACAAACACCGCCTGGTCGCAACACATTTCGGTCACCCGTCTCTGCCTAGAGTTACGCCTGGTTGAAATAAGTCGAGAAGTCAGCTTAGAAGTGCAATTAATCTCCGGTTTCGCGATCCAATTATCAGCAACATCTTCATCTTTCACTGAGGCTCTCAGGAAACTACTGTCAGGAGTGTTACGAAGTGTCTGGCTTGGTTTAGGTCACATTCCTACGAATACCGGCTACATCGTGCCTCCGAAGTTAATCTTCCGCCGGCTAAGCGCTCGAAAACTGGCAGAATGCAAAGGCTAAGTCGTTCTTTGCTCCCAACTGACATTTTAAACTGAATCCCATCTGGAAACAAACTTTGCTTTGTGCTCGGTAAAGTAGTCACTTACTAATTTAAGTCGTCCGCTGAAACTTAGTACAATCTCAAAGAGATCTTGCTAGCATGGGAAATGCAAATGTTCATGATCCTACTTTGTGTGACGAAAGTCCGCCGCATCGGGGGTTCGAACCAGGGAACACTCAGGCAAGAACCGACGCTCTTCATCACTCGACCACGCCCGGGCAGGCAAGCGTCTAAGAAAATAATATATACTCAGAAAAAGGCGATCTATCACTTAGTTATAAGCCATTTTCTATTTCATGCGATAAACATTTGCCGGAAATGTTTAACTCGCGCTCAGCTGGGCGTGATGGGCCACCGAACACTAATCCTGAAAAACGCAGTACATTACTGAAATCGATGACAAATAAATTAGATAATGAAATGTCGACACGCTGTGATGGATGTAGAGGATTCACCACCGGAGTTTCGAAACTAGCAGTAGACGTCGATCGCCTCACTAAAATAATAGTATCCCCCCCTCTCTCCCTCCCCCCCCCAAGTATAACAAAATTAAACCCCCAGAACACGATACAATAGACATGAAAAACACCAATGAACCGGACCACAGGAATTCCAAGAAACCGGAAAAAGGCTGCAGAAGTCATGTTCAGCGAAACAAGAGGCAAAGAAAGAAGTCGTTGGAAAAATCTCCCGACTCAATCGAAATGTGGGGAAATAAAAAGAAGAAGAGAGACGGAGATGAAACTGATTCTCGCATTTCCATAAATATGGCAAATATGGACCATAGAGAGTCCGTCTGCACCAAAATAAAACAGCGATCGACGACCCCAAAAAACTGTCCACTGTAATCGCATGGACTTCTCTACGCTGTAAAAGAGCGCTACCAGCTTTTCCTGCACATGCGTATCAAGCTATAATGCAAGCGGTCATGTGAGGCAGCCACATAAAGACGTTACAGTATATATCACGGGCATGAACAACTTAGCAAGTGCCCTGGGAACAATCATTAAGGCAGTCCCAGAGTCTGAGACTCAATCTACCGCCAGCGAAAGAGGGCAGGATGCAATCACCAGTCTTTCCCCGAGAGATCACGTTGTGAGGTAGCGCAAGGAGTTCCTGAAGCTCCCGGTTACACCCCAAAAAGAGGGTAAAACACGATCTGCTTGCACCTTAGGACTTGCTGGATGACACCCAAGAACCCGGTGAGGTAGTCGAAATACAAAAAATCTTCTGTTTGGGCCTTTACCTGGAAACAAAGCAGAGGACGTTCGGCCGATACCACTAAAAGTCGTATTGGAAAACGAACAGCAATCAAATCTCATCTTGTCGCGAAAGTTCAGGCTTCGAAACAACCATCGTAGTGCGTATTTTTCAGCCGGACTATCACCCAATCGAACGGATAAAAAAGAGGGCGCTGCTAGCGGAATATAGAAAACGCCAGAGAGAGGCCGAAGTTAATCTAAAAATAGTAAATAACCAAATTGTAAAAATAGAGCGTCCCTTCTTGTGATATCATCCGGCAAAATTTACGGTAAAAGCACCGGCGCTCTGTTCCGACAAACTTCATTAAAATCAAAATCGATTGGTGGACTTGGTACGCCATGGGAAATATCCAGTAGTGACTATCGGTCGAAAGCACAAGCAAACGATTTCCGGAGGTCTAAATAACCGAATAATATGAAAATAATGTACACAAATTTGGACATATTGGACGAAATATAACTGACCGTGGCCCATTTCCAACCCGACTTGATGGCTTTGACAGAAACATGGTTAAATGTGCGGATAAAAGACGCGGAAATTTTGCTGGGTGGCTTTCATCTTCTCAGAATGGACCGACCGAAACGAACAATTGCGATATCTATACGAGATGGCATCGACTACGTCAGAGCTCAGCCTTTCCCACTTAACCACATAGGCTGTGAAACACTCTGTTTTTACTTGAAACTGCAAAACCATCCAAGCTTTCATATGGCCATAGTTTACGGACGGCCGGGACAGCGCGCGGATGCGAACGATGAAATCTTCGCCGAGATAAAACAAATTTTTCAAAGAAAACACATAAGGCACTTGGTTATTTCAACTGTCCAGATATTAAATGGGCCTTGATACATTGCACGCGATCGGATAACTCCTTCGAACAGAAATTTATTCAGCTGATCCAACATGTTAAAATGGACACTCGATTCTGAGATGGACAGCAGTCCAATTGCTTGGAAATCATCATCACTAGGGATGACAGTTGCATTCTTGGATTGGAATTGCACATGCCCCTTGGTCGAAGTGACCACTGCGTTCTTGTTTGGGAGCACCCGCAGTTCGAGCTGCTGAGAAAGGAGACGTATGGAAAGGGGATTATCTCCGGAAGAAAAATCTGCTACAGAAGGGGAACTGGAAATCTGCACAAGCACTTAACCCAGAAAACGGTTGGCTCTCCTTAAAAAACGTAATGCAACAATTGGTAGGCAACTGTTGCCCAATTAGTAGAAAACCGAGCAATTTCCGAGCAAATTGTTGACGTCAGAAATAAAGAAGAGCCTTAGATTGAAAAGGAGAATTTGGAAAAAGTACGCCAAATGTACACAACTAGAGCACTTCCCTGACTTTAAAAAACGAAGCAATATACGTTAGAATCTTCTGAGGAGGAAACGGGCAGAATTTGACTCAAAATTTTTAACAATATCCTGCAAAATTCCAAAAAATTCTTTAGATACATGAATAAGACGAAACGCAACCGGGACTGCATTCCCTATCTAAAGGATCGCCAGGGAAATACGCTGTCTGATAATTCAGAGAAGGCGAACCTGTTATCCTATTTCTTCATGTCTGTGTATTCCAAGGAGCCAGCTTTTGAT